ACGATTAATCCTATTCAGATATTTGAAAATGCATTTGTTCACAATGTGTTTGAATGTGTCCCCTACTGATCTAAGACTAAATCAACTCTCTTGAATGCTATGTTGACTGACCTGGGCCTGCAGAGTGGTAACTTGTTTCTCCACGTTCTTCTTGCTCTCCTCCTCTTCCTCCAGCAACTCCTGCAGACTGTTCTGTTCGTCCTCCATCTGCCTCAGGCGGGTCGACAGGGAGAGTTTCTGCCGAGTTTCCTCCTGGAGCAGCTCCTGGAGTTCAGTGAAGGAAACATCTCAACTTTAGAAAAGCAATCTTCGAATCAGACACTTTTGGCTCAGTTTTTGTCAGTCTCGTGCACTTGCTGTTCAGCCTAAATACTTGTTTAGATTTTTGTAGAAATTGCATCACAGAAGGTAATAATCTGCCATTATCAGCTCTGTTTGCAGTGATACCATTGATTTACTGGATTACTTTTTATTTAATCACGAAGTAAACTTCCAAACATGATCACTACAGGGTAAAATCTGAAGGTATAAGTGCCTTTTTTTCTACTATGTACAACCATAATGCAGCTTTTCTGAACAGATTTCTAGTTAATATTTTTTGAAATTTGTGGATCACATCTGTGTGTTCAGATTTCAGAGAGAAATGAGAGCAAATATGATGTAAATTCAGTCAGTTGTGTGATAAAGCATAACACATATTAGCCTGTTGCTGAGCTGTGCAACAGATATCATTTGAGATTATAATACACTTACCACCAGTAGTAATAAACAAGCCTGTGTTTATGTTAGTACCTGTGTGTCCTGCAGCTGAGACTCCACAGAGGAAAGGTCCTTGCTGGATTTGATGTTCTTGCCGTCTGCTTCACTCAGGAGGCTGTTTACGTTGTCAAGCTCCGACTAGACACCAGACAGAAGAACAATTATGTTTCCATACTCCGTCCAATCAACCACTTGTTCCCTCCTTACAGAAATATCATCACATGCATCCTTCATGTCAAATGCATCTTTGAACTCTGCATTCATTCATTCATTCTCAGTCCAACCATGCGTACCTGCATCTTGGTTATCTTGTCGGAGAACTCCTGCCTCTGTCGCTCACTTTCTCCAAATTTAACCTGCAGTTCTTGAACCTGGGCTTCGGCCTTCTTGCGACGGTGCTCAGAATCTCCTTTGCCTTGTGTCAGAGTCTTCAGCTCGATCTGCAGCTCGTTCCACTCGCTCTCCAGGGCCTGCTTGGCTTTCTCCACCGACACCTTGTTCTGCAGGAGCGACACATACGACTCGTGTTACCGGTGTTGTTGGGAGCGTTTTGTGGCACCTTTCTCTCCTCCGACCACACCGTTCATTACCCTCTTGGCCTGCTCCAGCTGCTCGTTGAGCTCGTCAAACGCCTGATTGTGTTTGTGTCTCATGTCGGCCATCTGCTGCTCGTGAAGCTTGGCCTCTTCGTCCAGCGTCTTCTTCAGCTGGGTGACCTCCGTCTCACGCTTGGACCTGAGTGGATGAAATCAAAAAAAGAAATTAAATAATAAAGGCCAAGATGTGACTCTCACAGGACATGAGTTGAAACAGCTGATTTCCATGTGGTGTCTCCTTGTAAACCTCATGTGGACGTGAGCTATCATCCAACAACATACAGTATGTCCAAACTAATGCTAACGATAATAAATAACAAGGACAATATTAACAGTAACAGCAACAGCATCAATGACAATGACTACAATAATAGTAATAATGATAATAATCTTAATTTATACAGCATACAAAGTGCTTCTAAATGAAACAGACAAGTCAAACTCATTAGAATTTAAAAGACAAGTAAACCAACATCATGTTCGAAGACATAAACATTATTAAAAGAAGAAAAAAAAAACATAATTCAAAGAAAACAAAAACCTAAAATCAGGAAAGGTTCTCCAATAAAAGTTTGCTTTAAGAAGCAACCTAGTGTAATAAATATTATATCAATATTTCAGGCATTTAAGTGCAAATTAAATGGTAAGTGTACGTTAAAAAGAATTTTTAGGACTGAGAACTTGTCAGGTAATATATTTTTCCCAGTACTTGTTGGACTGTAATAGTCTGACCGTTACCTGAGCTCCTGCTGTGCTGCAGTTGAATCCAAAGTGTCCTCCAGCTCGGTCTTAAGAGCCTCCAGCTCCTCTCCCAGGTCTCTGCGGTGTTTCTCAGCCTTGGAGCGAGCCTGCCTCTCCAGCTCCAGGTCCTCCTGCAGCTCTGAGATCTGGGCATCCAACTCCCGGATCTTCTTGTGGGCCGTGTTCTTAGCTGCAGCCTCTTCTTCAATCCTGAAGTTGTGGTGAAGAGAAGAGGTGAGATCGACATACAGCTACTCTGTGCCCATGGAAAAGATGATCTAGAGCAGGGGTGTCATTTTTGCTTCTGCATCCTACCAACGATTTCACTACAGGAAAAACCAAACTCTGTGTGTTGGTCTGACCTGGCCAGTGCATTAAGAAGCTCCTCCTCTTTCTTTTCCAGCTGAGCTCGAAGTTCGGCAATTTGAGCCTGGAGGTCTGCAATCTGGTCGCTGAGCTCAGTGGAGTCTCCCTCAAGTTTACGACGATTCTTCTCCAACTCCTGACGCCCTTTCTCCTCTTTTCTCAGACGATCTGTGTAAAAAAAAATTTAAATACATGAAATAACTGCAACAACCAAATAATTACTTTACACTAGAACAGCATTAAAAATAAATAAATAAATTACCTTCCAAGTCTGTGATCATGGCTTCATGTTTGTTCTTGAGTTTCTGCAGGCTTTTGGACTTTTCTTCCTCCTCGGTCAAGTTGGTGGTGAACTCAGAGATCCTCTCCTCCAGCAGCTTCTTCTCCTGAAGTATACAAAAATAAAAACCAAATATTTAACTTGTTGTCTCAGCTGCAGTGGTTTGTGATGTTTGTGATGCATGTGAACTGATCAGTACTGGTCTGGATTAACACGCTGCACGAGACCTTGTTGAGTTTGCTGTTCTGGTCGTCCAGCACCATGATCTCCTCCTCTTGTTTCTTCAATTTGGCATCCGTGGTGACTTTCTCCATCTGGAGCTTCTGTCTGGCTGCTTCCTCTTCGTCCAGCTGCTGCTCCAGTTCCTGGATGAACAACACAAACAATCAGCGTTTACAACAAACACGCATCTTGTTTTTTTTTTTCCCCATCACATCTTAAATTCTGTCATCGGGACTTCACTGACCGTGATGTTCTGCTGCATCTTTTTTCTATCGGTTTGCATCTGTGTGACCCTCTCCTCCTCTTCCTCCAGGCGAGACTCCAGGTCGTGCAGGATCTCCTCCAGCTCCTGTTTCCGGGTGGCCAGTCGAGATCTCATCTCTTCAGCCTCTGCACAGAGCTCCGTCTCTGCCTGGAGCTGCTCCTGAAGAGCCAACTTCTCGGCATTCAGCTAGTAGAGGAGGGTCAGAGTCAGAGTGAGGTGATTAAATCTCAGCGCTGCATCATTCAGAAGAAAATCTGTCACAATGATGCTTGTTTTTTTATGAATTATTTCCTTTCATGCAGGATATTAATGCTGCAACAATCTCACAAGAGAAAACCCAACGCAGAGCTAAATTTGACATTTTCTCGAAGATTTTTATCAAAGACTGCTCAAAGTTGAAGCTTCCTTCACTTTGACTTTTACCTGCTGCTGCTTGGTCTCGAATTCTTTGAGCTGCTCCTCGGCCTGCAGTTGTCTCTCCTTCACCTTCACCAGCTCCTCTTCCTTGGCCAACATCTCCTCCTCCTGCCGGGTCACTTGCAGCAGAGGCTTCACCTGGAGGATAAATATGAAAAAAATTGACCCAATGTTTGATAAACAGATGAAAGATATTCTTGAAGATGAAACAGCACTCTCATGTGAAAGACTGCTGCTGATGAAATCTACTTTCTTTGCTTTATTACAACTTCCGCAAGGTTGAGATGTCAGTAACTCACCAGCAGCTTAAGGGTATGTAGACAAAAATCAGAACCAAGTCTGAGCAGACCTGTGAAAATTAGCTGCAAACAAACCTTTAAAGTGATTTGGACTTGACTTGCAGGTAAAACATAATGTCTTGTGCATCATTTACTTTCTGTCGCAAAATCACACCATCATGAATAATTAGTAAACTGGAAAACACTAAAATCATTACAAAACAATTAATTTAGGAAAATAAATCAGTTTTCTCTTATGTTAATTAAAATTATTGTGTATTTTCTTGCAGCTACACTCATGTTTTCGTGTGCTTCCAGTTATGAAAAGAGCTGTTTCCAGTTTTTGTCAGCTGTTCAAGATGAAGCATTTTTGCTCATCTTTTGTATGTCACACAGCTGGAAACCTTTAACTGCCACCTAAGTAATCGATTTTGATCCCTGGCAGCACAGAAATCATTGCTCAGCTTTGTTCCCAGTTCACAACATTTCAAAAATCATTCTCTGAACTGTTAAGCTGATGATGTTGAACAGGATTACTTGTTGGAGTCAAAGCACCATTCATCAGTGTGTTCGCTCTTCGAACGCAGTCACAAATGTGACCAACTTTCACTTCCTTCGTGAACCGCTTACCTTTGTGAAAAGCCTCCACCACTGCCAGTTCCTGAGTTTGAGATAAGCTGCACAGTTTCGCTGGATGACTTTCATGGCTGTCAGCTGCTGCTGTCTCTTGGCAAAAGCTCTGCAGGTTGAAAAGTAAATCTCTCATCATCACACCGATTCAGACAACAGCTTCATGTCAAACCATTATGCACAGATGCCGATTGTAAATGTGACGCATCAGATGAAGTGATCCTTCGTACTTGCGGGCCACGTATCCTCGGCACCAGGCCTGGAAGCTGATGATCACGTCGGTGATCTTCATGTCTCTCTCCTCCTCCAGCTGAGCCAGGACTCCGGCTCTGAAGAACACTTTGCTTTGACCGATGCGGAACAGATTCGGGTCGAGCTCCAGGGCTTTGATCTGATATGGAGAAGAGAGAAGAGGCTCAGTGATTTGTGAAAGAAGACTTGAAAGTGGCAGTTTTAAAAATCATGATTTCTAAAACTGATCTTGCTCTTACCATGAGCACACAGGCTTGCTTCCCATCCATAAAGCCTTTGGGAATGGCACTGGGAGTGAGGATTTCATATCTGAGGGAGACGAGCAGAATTCAATAATTACTAAAGTAGTCTGACTCCTTCTACTAAATAAGGATTAAGGAGGACGATTAATTTTAGAATTAAACTTCCACTTGTAGGTACATTTACTGTTGCAGCTGCATTTTTCATTTCTGTCTGACACGTATCTAATGGAGCTTTTATTTTACTCAATCCAGTTGTCTACACACTTTGCAATGAGGCTTCTATTTTTCTTTTACTTCAACTGACCAAAAGTGCATATCTACAGTGACGATACGTTATGCTCTAAACTCAACTAACCTATATCTCAATACTGGGCCTGAACACTCTTCTGTTTGTAGTCACTGGGAATGATTCTCTTTTTTTGGATCTTATCCATTTTACATGTTTGTTCTGCCTGACACCAGAAGGTTTTGATCAGAATGGTGATATTTAAAAAAGAGGTTATGATTAAAATGTGTCACTTCAATGTTTTGTCTGAAAACACTGTAGGATGATTGCTATAGACGAATCAATCTAAACTCACCTCTGTCTGAACTCCTGGAAGACGATGCGATTGGGGAAACCCTGTCTGCAGATACGAATCCCCTCCAAGACTCCGTTACACCTGAGCTGGTCCAGAACCAGGTGAGGCTCCAGTTTACCAGCCTGAAGGAGGAAACAAAGATTGCAGTTTAAGATTTGTTCACGTGGATGTAAGTGAGTTTTAGTTCTCTTATAACACTTATGCATTGATTTCTGCACAGCTGCAGTGCTGATAAATACGGTTATGTTGTACCTTCTTCTCGTGGTTGGGGATGATGCAGCGGACAAAGTTGGGGTTGGTGTTCCTCAGTGTGGCCATGAGGTTCCCCAGCTGCTCCTTGTACAGCTGGCCCACGGTACGGAACATGCCCTTGCGGGATTTGAACGCACCGTGCATAGAGTCCGACATTCCTGCCACTTTGTCGAGTCCAACAATACGATCCACTGTGAAGATGAACGCAGAGAAGACATTAGCTGTTGGGATGTTCCATTGATTTCTTATGACAAATAACTGTCTGTTGGACCATTGAGCGATTCTTCTACTATTGGCTCATCTTTGTGTTGACATCGGATTAGCAGCAGATTATAAAGGTGACTAATTTAAACTTGGTTTTCTCTGGTTCACTTTGGCAGAAGGAGGCACAGAAAAATGTCTAATTTCACATCAAAACACGTGTCAACAGATGTCCCATTTACAACCACGTGATGCTTAAAACCATCTTAACAGCATGAGATCATGGATAAATGTATTTACACCACTTACTGTCTCTCCACAGGTCAGACGTGAACTTGTCTGTCGACTGGTTGAGCAAAGTGGCCACACATTCATTCAGCGGATCCATGTTTTTCATCAACCATTCATCTGCCTTGTAGTCCACCTGCAGAGGAGACGTTTGAAATGAAGCTGAGGCTACCAGGACAACATGGTTACTTTAATTTAACGGTTTAATGCCGCATCTTATTCTGAAACACAATATTTGTGACATTGACTTTAAGCTGCAAATTATATAAATTACATTTGGAAAGAAATTGGAGCCAAATTTTGTATATTAAGATTTCAGTCAAAGCTGTACGTTGTTATTTTACCACCATCTAGTGACTAAAAGTGAGTACATTTACTCAAGTACTATACTTCAGTGTAACTGTCAGATACTATACTTCACTATTATCATTTCGGTAGACAATAATTTCCTTTTTACTCCAGTAAACTGATGACACATATAGCAAGTAGCTTGAGATTGATGCTCTGAACCAAAAAAAACTGTTGGTGGGTTTGAATGACATGATGACTTTGAAAAAAATGTTAGAATATTACAGAATTCATCAGAGAAGAAACCATTAAGATAAAGAACTGTCTGCTTTTTTGAGCAGTCTTCTGTGATTTTACTGGCTTTAACTTGTGTCTGAGTGTTTGAATTTTCTCCTAACTACATTTAAAAGGATCCAAGTATCTTTCCATCACTGCAGAATTTAAACTTCTGCTGGTTTTCTGTTCTATAAGAACATGGAACCATCTGGGGTGATGGGATACTGACAGAAAAAGGAAAACTTCGCTCATTTATAACACTTTTTTAGGGAACGTGTTTTCTTTGGGCTGGCAAGTGTAAAAGAAAAACACTAATAAATTGAACAATCATCAAAAACGTGACAATTTTAACACCACAAACTTGCTGTCTGACCTTCCCAGCGTAGTGCATGATGCAGAAATCTACATCGTCCTTGAGTTTCTTGGGTTTCTGGAACTTGGGGTGCGTTCCCTGCTCCTGAACCACCTTCTCCACAAAGCTCTTGTCTGTGGCTTTGGGGAACCAGCACTCTTCATCCAGCAGAGCCAGGATGCCTGGAGGACCGGCCTGTGACCAAGAGGACAATCATCAGTCTGCAGCCCAGAGGAATCCAGACGGAGTTTAATCTTTGTCATGCTACGTGTCTCAACCTGTATGACACAACTGTTTGCTGCAGAAAATACTGTGACGTCTGTCGAAAGGTTGTGACTAATAATCTGAGGTGTCAGTCCAGGTCGAGACAGGCACAGCTGGCGTTACTCTACGAGCCCTGAGGAGGAAGAACAGCTGGGAGACGTCTTACAGGCTTTTCGATGAGGTCGATGCAGGGCTGCAGGTCGAGGCCGAAGTCGATGAAGCTCCACTCGATGCCCTCCCTCTGGTACTCCTCCTGCTCCAGGATGAACATGGTGTGGTTGAAGAGCTGCTGCAGCTTCTCGTTGGTGTAGTTGATGCACAGCTGCTCAAACGAGTTCAACTGTGGGAGAGAAATCAAGATGCTATTAGTTTATTTGTCAACTGGCAGACAACTGAGAAACCGTTTTACTAATTTTATAACCAAGTTTTGTCCTTGTTCCAGCCTCTCAAATGTAAATATTTTAGTTGTTTTGGGCTGGCTTTAGGACATTGTCAGATCAAAAATGTCTGAATTCCAACTATTTTCTGATAGTTTGTCGAACAATCTTTACATTCATGATTAATAATGTCAGAATTGGTTGTAGCTGCAAAATGAATGTATTGAAATCAAGCTCAACCACTTAATGTGAAACATGCTTAGCCCAAATAAACATCACAACACGTGAAACACATCAAAATAAGAACTCATCCATCTTTTTGTTGCTTTCATTAAAAAAAGGTCTTAAAATGGTGTTAAACTCTGCACAAAGCTAACACAGAGTCTCTGACCACAAACATAAAGTTTCAGCTCACATCTGTTGAGCCCTGAACACCTCACCTCAAAGATCTCAAACCCAGCGATGTCCAGGATGCCGATGAAAGAAGCTCCCTGCCTCTTGGTCTTGTCCAAAGCTTTATTGATTCTCAGGACCAGCCAGCGGAACATCCTCTCGTAAGAGGCTTTGGCCAGAGCCTCGACAGCAAACTCTGCCTGCTCCTGAGTCTGGGCCTTCTGGACGTAGTCTCTGCCAACCTGGAAAATAAGAAATACTCTGATTTTATGATGTGCATAATAAAGCCATCATTGGAAACTAAACGATTCAGTTTGGATGGCAAGCTGTCTCTCAAATGAGAAAACATTTGGATTTCAAACTGTGTGGCTATAATAAGAAGATGCAGCAAACATATCATATAATTTGTTTTAAAACAAGCGGAATGCACTAGTGGGTATGCGGACCTTGATTCTGGGAGACAGGATGGCTCGTGTGAAGTCGGTCACGTTGATGCCCAGCAGATGACACACTTTCTGAGCAGCTGGGGGTGAAACATGAGGATCATATCAGAGCATGATGGATAAAATGGTGGGAGACAGACAGCATGCACACAGGACAAGATGATGATGCCGATAATGATGGTGTCCGTGTAAACGTGCGTACCGGTGTCATCGGGCATGGAGGCCTGGTCGCTGTGACGCTCCTTCTTGAAACTCATGTTCCCCAACTGCAGCACAGCCGACACCACCTTCAACAGACCTGAGCAGGAAACGGCAGAAATCAGTCTGCTGCAGAGGAAAGAACCTCGCATGATGTTTGTCAGCCTCTGTTTGATAGGCATGTTATCTTAAAAATATATAGAATGAATATATATATTCAGCAGAAACGAGCAGAAACTGTAGAAACAGAAAGAATCATCAGATTTCCAACAGTCTAAGCTTAAAATCATGTCATTTTAACAAAAAAATAAATAAAATCTACAAAACATCGTATTAAAAAAATCCCTTCGAAGGCACGCTCTATGCACTCATGATAAATGAGGCCCCAGGACTTTATTCTGCAGTGAGTAATGGGCTCAAAGTGGGGCAAAATGGGACGGGAAGGGGGGGAAAAAAAGCTGCATCAGAGGGTTAATCTGGTGCTATTATAAAATACGCCGAAGAAACTCGTCATATACAACAAGATGAAAAAAAACCAAACACCTTTTTTACATTCAAGAATGTTAAATTAGTCAATAACTAACTTAATACATCCAAATATACAGCCAACTAGATCTGCAACTAACTATTGGGAACTACTACAAAAAAATGCAGTCTCTCAGAGGTCAGGTACCGATTCTTTCCTCCTCTGGGATGCTCATGATCTTGAAGGCGTCCATGGTTTCGACGAACATGTCTTTGTCCTGCTGCCCAGGAATCGTCACATTTCCGTTGGACAGGAATCGGTACTTGCTGTAATCCTCCAGACACAACTCAGCTGGAAAGGAAAAAGAAAGGAGAGTTATTATTTAGCAACCCAATCCATTTTACAGCTGGAGAGACTTGGGCCATGCGTTGACATGGGACTGTTGGCTCTACGTGGCTTCAGGTGGCGCTGTGTGAAAACCGATGAGAGAAAAAGGAACCTCGATCTTGGCCTCTTAAGTCAACCATCTGTGATGTAGTCAGACACATTTCTCAAAGACTCCTGTCGAAAGCATCAATTTGACTCTTGAACTGCAAGTCATGTTCAGCTGTCAGTGCAACCACAGTCATGTTGCAACGCTCTACTTCAGCTTTCTGTCGCGCAGCTCTGGTGTTGTAATAAATTGGTTTCAGTACTTACAGCGCAGCTTGTCTCCGGCTCCGGTCAGCATGTAGTAGAAGACGTGGAAACTCCTCTCATCTTTAGCTTGTCTGATGGCTCGAGACTTCTCCAGCAGATCTGACAACATCTCAGTCAAGGACAACCAGATACAAAAGCGAGCGCAGCAGAACAACAGCATCTTTAAAATGTAACTGGGGACTTATTTCCAATTTGGGACCTAAGTTTGCACTTCTAATGATGTTTAACTGACATTTAGGCCCCTTCTGACAGAAAGGCCCAGTGTCAAAAACTAGCTCTAATACTTTTGATATGTCAGTGGGTGTTATGCTCACATGGTGCAAATTGCCGATGAAATATGTTACACAAATCCATCATAAACAACTAACATGGTGTCAGGGATAACCCAGCATAGAAACACTGCTTTGCATCTAGGATTCTGTGTGCAGAGGTTTATTACAAACCCTTTACTCATCTTGCTTTTTAAAAAGGATACAAGTTTCAATGTTTGCTCCAACGATGTATCCATTGACGTCAAAGTTGATCCTGATAAATTTTCCCTTAAAAGAGAAAACAAATCATTTCAATATGCAGCACTAAACTAATGTTTTTAGGAATTACTCTGAGATGATGCAACATCAATTTTGCACATTGATTTCAGTTTACCCATCATAGGGATGAAACTGCTGCTCATTAAGACAGTTGTTTAACCCTCTGAAGCCCCACACTTGCCAGCGGGTTTAAAAAAAACAAAAAAACAACCAAACTAACAAAAACACCATTCATCAGTCAGAAGTGATAAAAACAGAAAGAACTGAAGGATGTTCAATTTTCCTGTTGCGAAAATACAATCAAATCTCACCTTAAAATGTAGATATTGCATAAAAATAACTTTATTATATGAAGCTAATTCTGATAATTTGCTAAAAAATTAACCGTTTTCATAAACCAGATTCTCTAAAAAACAAAAAATTCTGTGGTCCTTGATGCAACTGTGAAGCCATTAGTGACTCATCTGTGAATGACAGCCATGTGACAGAAATTTACGGACTTTTCAGCTGAACTGCAGACTGGGTTTTTACAGAGCAGACAGGACACAAGTACATCCATCCATCCATTATCTATACACCGCTTAATCCTCACTGGGGTCACGGGGGGGCTGGAGTCTATCCCAGTCTATCACAGGGCCACACTTAGAGACAGACAACCAAGCACACTCACACAATTTATAATCACCAAATAACCTCAACATGTTTTTGGACTGTGGGAGGAAGCCGGAGAACCCGGAGAGAACCCACGCTGCACGCGGAGAACCCTGCAAACCCCACAGGTGTCCTCATCAGGACATGAACCGGCGACCTTCTAGCTGCGAGGCAACGGTGCTAACCACCGAGCCACCTTGCAGCCCCAGGGGACAAGTATGAAAACAAAAGCATAAATAGTAAAGTATCTATAACATGTAGAACCACCATCTTTTCCCAGTTTTGGTAACACCAGTAGGCCCTTAGAATGTGAATTCTACTTCTAGTCATGGTTGTGCCGTTTCCATAGCGGTGCAGGACTTTATCGCAGTGAAAAATTAGCCCAAAGCGAGTAAAAATGCGACAGGAGCAAAAAAATAAAAAATGCCCATGACCTGCTTGGAGTTCAGAGGGTTAATACCTTGTTGCTCTGGAGAACTTTTTACAATCTTAGAAAATCACACTGATGGTGTCATCTAGATTTTGTCGTCTCAGACTTGTCAGATTTTTAAAAGGCAGCCCACATTACAAAGTGGAGAGTGAAGCTCAAAGGATGTGGGTGTTTCCAGACAGGGAGGCTCTAATAACAGGAGGGGGCAATGATCAGTTGCATTACGATAAGTGTAGGGTCTAGGTGTTGGAGCTTCACACGTAATATTAGGTAGCGATACAAAACAGTAATAAAACCTAATGGAACAGCCCTTACAAATCTCGAGGAGTTGTCGTTCTTGACCGTCTTTGCGTTGCCGAAGGCCTCCAGGATGGGATTGGCTTGCAGCAGCTGCTTCTCCAGTTCCCCCTGACGGACAGAAACAAGCATCAGACCAAACTATAGTCTTCAGTATTATTTTATCGTGATTCCTACATGGACATTAACCAAGCAAGCGCGACTTTAAATCATGCATTTTCTTGCAGCGCTGGCAAACTTTCATTGGTGAACACAAAACATGTGCAATGACTCAGTCGCCTTATTAAAAACCAATACACGTTGAAAAAGAATGACTTCCGGGGATGTTATTGTTGCCCAACCAGCTCACACACACAAACACACAAGTAAAAACTGAACTCCACACATTCCAGCTCACATTCCCGCAGCACGGCAAGCCCACTCAAGCACCAAACCATGTAAGGCCGTCTCTGTCCATGCAAGCACAAACACGACAACACAAGAAGCACACGGGAAGGTTAGCCAAGACGCCCTGAAGGAAATGCAGGAGTGCAACATCCCAACATACGTACAGCTACCCAACAATGACAAAATCAGCCCTGAGCAGATGACAAACAATAAAAAAAAAACAGGTGGTGGGTGGAGTGGGAAACCTTCACCTACAGTAGCCTCAAACTGGGTTCAAACACCTCAGTGCAGTTCAGCCTCAGATTAAGTTACCGTTCGACTGCTTTACTGCCGCAGGTGTAATAACACTCCAGCAGATCTCCCTCGATATTCCCTGGACTCATACAAGACTTTTAATTTTGAATGAAAAACTACTTTTAGTATTTTTAAAGACCCTATTTAACTCATCTAAAACTTATGATGGGGGTTAAGGTTGAGAACAAATGTTGACATACACTTATAAAGACCATGTATATAATAAGTAGTCTTGAGTTTCCAATGACTCCTATTACTCAGAACTTTCTACGATGGTAACACATGCTTTATTTTTCTTTTTTTTTCCTTCATAGATTCATTAAAGGTCCTCTGGAAATATGAAAAACTCTGCTGAGTCAGAAATATAGACACAGCAATGCTAATATTTGGCTAAATATCTCATGCTTTTTGTAGGCTTCCACAAGCTTCTGGCTCCATCTTTGACCCTTCTCTGAATAGAACTGGCGAACATGAACTAAATTTGTTGGCTTTCAGACACAGACTTGTTTCTTCAGCACAGTCTACAGGTCCTCTACGGGATTTAAGTCGGGACTTTGGGAGGACCAGTCTAAAACTTTAATTGTAGCCTGATTTAGCAATTTCTTTACCGCTTTTGATGTGTGTTTGAAGACATCGTCTTGCTCAAACACCCAACAGCGTCCAAGGCCCAACCCTCTTGCTGATGATTTTAAGTTTTCCCAAAAGCTTGTGGAGTTAATTCTCCTCCTTTATTGTTCCATTTACTTTGTGTAAAGCGTCAGTTTCAGAGGCTGAAACAAAAACAGCCCCAGAGCATAATACTGCCACCACCATGCTTGACGGCCGGTTGGGGTTAAAGGCCTCGTCTTCTCTCCTCCAAACATATTTCTGGTCATTGTGGCTAAGCAGCTCAATTTTTGTTTCATCTGTCCACAGGTCTTTCCTCCAGAAGGCCTTCTCTTTGTCCATGTGATCAGCAGCATCACAGAAAATTAAGAATTAAAAGGAGTCATTGGAAACATAAGACTGCCATCATATACATAATCTTTAAAAGTGTATGTGGAAGCTTTTTATCACAACTGTATGTGTCAACCTGCTTTGTACACTTCTGCTTTTGTACAGATTAAACATGATGCTGCTAGATGGAGTTTGTTCCTTTAAACAAAGACTCTGTTTCAGCTCTCAGTGCTAATCTAAGCCAACTAGTTGCAGCTTGATATTTACCACACAAACATGACAGTGGTATCAGTCTTTCCATCTTTTTCATCTAACTCTCGGCATTAACTTTCTCGGGCATTTCCCAAACTGTACAACTGTTTCCTTAAAGCCACGGCATATTTTTGAGTAATCTGGAATGCATTTCCTTCAATACCCAGACAAAGACAATAACATTTTCTGTTAGTAGTGTAATACGAACACTTATGGAGTCAGAGAGATGAACTCACATGTGACAACACAGCACTGCCCTGGAGAAAAGGTAAAAAAAAGATATAGTTCAAAACATTTGATACCAACTTCAGCACAAAAATTACATAACTGCAGAGGAAACCTGGTGTCACTTCAGGAGTCAGAAAAATGATTTATGAGGTACTCCATGTGAAGTCTTGTTAAATAACCTACATATAAGAATAGTAGTACAAGTACAAACACACGCAGACACACATCTGCCTTCTGCTTCAATATAAGTAACCGCGGAGGTGAGGCAGGCAGGTCGAGGCCTGAAGCAGGAATGCTCAGTAGTCGCCTCGCTGCTTGTTCAGATACACAACATTATACAGATGGAAGAACAGGGAGGCAGGAGACAGCGGAGAAGATCAGAGGACAGAAAAACACTGGAAAGTTTCCATCGTGGTTGTTTGAATGAAAAACTGAAGCAGCACTGACCTGGTCTTTCTTGGACTTGAATGAAGAGGCAACATGTGCAAGATACTGAATGACTTTCTTTGTGTTTTCTGTTTTTCCTGCTCCTGATTCCCCACTATAGAGACAGTAGAGATATATACGCATATTATGCTTCAGAAAGGACTCATTTCTATGAAACAGGGAGAGTATTCTGATAATTAATAGTGCAGAAATACATATTAAGGTCAAGAATGAACTCTGAATCTCTTTATTTAAACCAACAAATCAAATCTAACAGTCACTTTCACAGTATCTGTGCATACTTTATCTGCCGATATAGATCATGTGATAAGATCAAAAGCTACAGAAATACAACTAAACAGAGCCTGAAGTAAGACTAGCTGTTTTGTGGTTGGGTGTGTATTTTAGGAAAAAGAAGGACAATAAAGTTTAACCTAAAGTTGGAGGGCAGAACTTTTACATATAAATAAATGTCATGGTCACATTGAAGCCAAACTGCTGATTCATCCCATCTGTGCAACGTAAGGGTCTCTACTAGTATACGAGAGCTACAAATCTGCTGTCTGTGACGACATTTCCGTGCTGGTACACTGGAAACAATATGTTTAATGTCAATAAGCACTGATTGGTTTGCCAGAGCTTTACAGGGGGACCTATGAGCATCCTAGAAAGGTTTTTGATACTCAGCATAAAAAAAAAGAATTCTGCAATCGTAAGAAGGATTCTGGTCTAAGAAAAAAATTAAAAAATAAAGAAAGTCATGGATGATAATACATCACATGCACACACTGACAGTGTTTATGTAATTGCTGTCACTATCAGCAGGGGGAGACTACAGATACACACTGCAGCTTTAAATCTACAACAATAATGGACACTTGAGAAACAATATACATACACTGATATCAACACTATTTAAGACCAATTTGTTAGAAAATGTGCTAATTCTCACATTAAGAGTGCACAGAGCACAATATCATCATTTATTGTAGCTGAGCTGAATCCAGCTGCAGATTCAGGTGGAAACTCTGTCACGGTTCATCACTACAAGCAACAGTTTCCACATACGTTACTCATTTTTATTTAAGAAAAATAGAGACTCTAGATGCTTCAGATTAGTCGGTACAAACAGAAAAGAGTGACGTACGTGCAAAGGATGGACTGGTCCTCACGGTCTGTTACAGGAAGAGAAAGAGGAGAATGCAGATTAGGAAAAACAGAATTGAAATAAAAGAAAACAAAAGCAGCTGACGTGAAGGTAAGGAATTTGCTCGGTCGCATGCTGGTTGATTGTTGGACTCTGCGGGTTGTGTGGCAGAAAATGTGTGTGTATGCAATTCAACTGAACCGATTACTGTTCAGTCAACCAGCAGAAAAAAACCACAAACAAAAATAATTATTCTCTGGATCCAGCTGCTCATTTAAGAAGATTACATCTATTTGTTTGAAAAAATAAATTATATATCTCAGGATGTTAGACTGATGGTCAGACAAAAAAAACAACTGTTTGAAAAAATCATCTTTGGACTTTTGGAGATGATTCACTGTTGCAGTCTTTAAACCATCCCAGCATTTACTGTTGATGTAAACACACTCAGAGTCTCTGCACTGTGTGTGTACTTTATCAAATAACGTCCAGCATTGCCAAACATACGATTTTTCTTTACAAAAGTGCAGTGGCGGTACCCTGCATCATGCTCCTGTAGGCCGTGTCGGTGATGGCGTAGATGTGAGGAGGCATCTCGTGCCTCTTCTTGCCCTTGTACATGTTCACGATGTCCTCGGTGTAGATGGGCAGGTACTTGTATGGGTTGATGACCACGCAGAACAGACCAGAATACGTCTGCATAAAACAGAAGATGTGACGGTTAAAGAGGAGCATTAACACCATGAAGAGAGACCTGTGACAAGAGGTAAATACACCCAGACTCACATAGATGAGGCCAGAGTAGTATCTCTCTTTGAGGTTGTGCAGCACAGACGCCTCGTTCAGGCAGGTGAGCTCGGCCATGTCCTCCACCTTGTTGAACTTGGGTGGGTTCATCTTCTGGATGTCATCCTTGTTTACCTTCACCTGAGAATCACAGAAACAAGGCACCTGTCAGATGGGCTTCTGGACGAGGATTAAAGTGTTAACATGCCTGTTCAGGTCAACATTTAACAAATTCTGCTAAAAGTTTAACAGATTCAGAATTAGAAGAGAAATTCTCCACCTTCTTGCCAGAGTCCGCCAGCTCCACCAGACACTCTTCTCCCTTCTCCTCTTTGACTGATCCGGCCTCGAAGCCCAGTTTCTCGCTGGGGACCCACACCAGCTTCTTGGTGGCCCAGTCGGCCTGAGCCAGGGGGTTGCTCACCCCCCCGCGGTCCCCATACAGGAACTTGTCTGCGTCCGTCATGGTAGCTTTGGGAGAGAGCAAGAGAGGAGTTTAAACAAATGTAAAGCCATTTTGAACAGTTTTGATTTTTCAAGATGAGTTGAAATAGTTTGTAAAGACAAGAAAAGATTCAACTGATTGATATTTTTACTGTGGATCAAGCGGTGCAATCAAAACAGCAGTCCTGCTTTAAATATCACTGTTGTGAACATCACGAACATCTCCACTGAGAAGTTTGTGTTTTCATGTATTAGAACTTAACTGTCTATGGTGGACATTTTGCTCGTGGGCCAAGAAAAAAAATATTGTTTTAGAGCAGACAGCTTCAATGTGGATCCAGTTACTTTACATTTTTGTGTGACGGGAAAATAGTAGGTACAACAGACAGAAAATATCCTGTGAACTCTCAGTGACAGTGCAGGTTGATAATATCAAAGCATCATCCATCCATTATCTATACACCGCTTAATCCTCACCAGGGTCATGGGGGAGCTGGAGTCTATCCCAGCTGACTCAGGGTGAAGGCAGAAGACACCCTGGACAGGTCACCAGTCTATCACAGGGCTACACTTAGAGACAGACAACCAAGCACACTCACATTCACACCTACAGACAATTTAGAATCACCAATTAACCTCAACATGTTTTTGGACTGTGTGGGAGGAAGCCGGAGAACCCGGAGAGAACCCACGCTGCACAGGGAGAACATGCAAACTCCACACAGAAAGATCCTGGGTGTCCTCACTGGGACGTGATCTAACCGTGAGGTGACGGTGCTAACCACCCTGCAGCCCCTGAAGCATCATAATAAACTCAGACAGACGGCAGCGCTCAGGAGTCTGAGTCACATTCTGCACAAAAGCCTTTTGTTCCTGGGTAAGAATCAGTATTTAGGTTTATTATAAAACCAGCAGTTAGTCATCTGTGTGTTTGATCAAGACTCGGATTAAACACTTGTTGACTTGAAGAGGCTTCAGACAATGAATGTACAATAGGTTGAGTTCAGCAGGGGACCTTCTCTGCTGCACGTCGTCCTTCCTGACATCTCTTTATCAAGACCAGTACTATGTGAGAGAACTGCAGCTTGGTGGAGGTGTTAACTTTAGGTAGTTCAACTCTGCGGTCCTCTGTGATGCCGTTACTGTACTTGACTGCAATATGTTAAGGAAATCGTAGTGTAAAGTTGGGAGAAAATATAATGGCAGAATGCAGATTCTTATTTCTTCTGACTTACAGAAAAAACAAAAGTCTTTACTTCTATTGTTACAGTTAGAAAAAAGTGTTAAATTTAGATCAACTGGTGACAAATTCTCAACCGTCGTGTGAACCCACATCTGTGTCACATGTGGTTTGAAAAGACAATCATCAGAAAGTGTGACTGGTACAGAGACAGTCCTTTGATCGGTGGCTGTAAAAGTCCACTTTAGAATGCAGCTTTATTGAAATGACAAATAAAAAAGAAAGAGAAGAAAACGGGCTGTTGGCAAGCTGGAATATGACTTTAACGTTTACAACTCCACCACTTGTCCTCTAGGAAGTCATTTCAGACTTGGATGTGTCTGACAACGGGATCCTGTCCCCCCAAAAATGTCCAACAACTTCACCGAACCCTTCGCGAAGAATTCATTCCCGACTCGTGATATCTGACCTATGAGCTCACTCTCCATCTGATCATTATCATTTCCAAAGTAGTGCGTACTCGGTTGCTTTATGACATCCATTCTGCTGCACAGATGACTAACCAAAAGCCGTAAGTTGAAACGAATGAGTAGGCGTTAACTTCTCAGCGTGCAGTGCGGCAGGTAAAGAGCCACTTGCGTCATTCATGTGCGATGATACGTCGGTGTGTTGGCCTTTTCACATGAGTATAACTGAGGTATATGTGCACTCACAAACAACGCTGTTCCAGGCGATGAAATTCACTGAACCGTCGGGAGGAACAGGTTTGGGCACATCGTTGTCTCGGTAACATCTGTCTGAAGTTCACTGTATTATTATGAACATGAAGCCTCTTTATGCGTGACCTACAAACCCGACTTCACGCCAGAGCTCTTAAAACAGACAATAGGCGACGATTTTCACATTATGTTCCTTAAGGATCATAGAAAGTTGGGCTCAGTTTTAAATGATGTGAAGCTCAAAGCTATCAGACGAAGCAATTAGTCACTTTCCAGCTGAGCGTCTTCTACCTGTCCATCCTTTATTCCCTTCCTGGCCCACATTCCTTCCTCACCAACTCATTACGCAGAATTCCACAAATTCCCAACTCCTGCTTGCAGCCCTTCATTTAATTCCTCAACTTCCACCTGGTTTAATGAAGCTATTACACGCGTATCATTCTGCTCTTTTACAGCAGTTTAAGCCGCTTCTGATGGAGGTCGGCTGAGGGATGCTTTGCTTTGCAGGCAGAGAGGCAGGAAGGAATGCTGAAACAAGCCCAGGCAGAGAGAGAAATGTCATTATTTCCCGACCACACCCTGCAGAAACACTGTGTGCTGCACTGGGAAAAGTAAAAATGGCCTAAAAAAAAAAACATAAAATCATCACCTGGATGAAGCTTTTACCAGCAGCAGTAACATGAAGAGTTTGAAGTGATTCATGGTCATTTAAAGACAAGAATGTAATTATGAAACAATTGGATGAATGATAACGGTTATTAGAAAAGAAGAGCTTATTGATTCTGATATTAAAGGTCATTTGGGAATAATGTCAAAAGAGTTTGTGACAAAAGGTTATTTCATAAAACAAAAATGCTCTTTATCTCTGTGCAACCAGATGCCATGGCATTTTTTTTTAAAATTTTTAATAATATAAAAAATAAAGCTTTGCCTGCAGGTTTCACCCCAAATCAAATTAGTGACATAAGTTTCTTGAATGGATTGTAATTTGTTTTTTAAAAAAAAGCCAAAACTAGAACGTGAACATAGATTCTGCAGCATTAATGTGTTTTTTTCCGTCTTGTCAGATTCATTTTACGAATCCAGGTCGAAAATATTAACTTAAAAGAATCAGAGATGATCAGATTCATTTAAAATAAACACACTGGGGGTACGTGGCTGTAAAAACTGCTCCAAATCATGCAAATAACTAAATTTAATGCATAAAAATGAAGAGGATTCAGCAGCATTTGTTGCATTCAAGACAGACAATTAGGATCTGAATTATTACAAGCTGCTCTGTAGATGTAGATAATATAGACAGGAAAACTATAAATGATGTCGCCTCACAGGAACATCAGCACTTATCAGTCCTAAAGGCTTCACACGTGTCGATTTTTATCTATCGAGCCCCCAAAACCATAAATGAACCTCAGAAAACTTCCTCTTCTGCGATTTGATTCTCGCGAGAGGAGGCCGAGGATGCTCTATGAGCAGCAGCAGAGCGCCTGTGTGTGAGTTCAGGGGGAGATAAAGACACAGATAGAGTGTGAGTGTGTTTATAGAGCGAGGGATAAAGGGATCAGTGCACAAGGTGTCATCTGTGTCTCTCTTAAGTTCATTATGTGCTCAGACTCTTTAAGATCAGTGGGGGAGGAGGAGGAGGAACACACTGACATTACTTCTGGTTTTACCGTGAAACCCTGCAGGGCGTTTAAAGCTGCAGCACAAACAGAGAAAACGACACGTACAGTTTGGATACAAGCAACCAAACGCATCTTTTATCAACACCCCCTGAAACCACAGCCTGAACTTGTGATGTTCACATGTACGGTGAAGCGATCCATATGGGCCAACTTCCTCAGGAAGTTGCACAAACTCTGTCTTGGCACATCGTGACACCCTGTAATTCAGAAATCCTCTCTTGCACTCTTCTCGTATCGATTCCTACCACTTGAACGAACCAACACGTCCTCTCTCAAAAATAACCACATCTGGAGGCCGAACCACACCAGATGTTCCCCCCAAAACCTGTTAACCTTCAGGACGTTCCTATTGTCTGCATGGATCCGTTTAATCTCTTGTGTTCTTCGGCACGTTTTCAGCAGCACCTCCATTCTCCTGCTCTTGTCCTGTTCTTGGCTGACGGTCAATCCCTGCTTTATCCAGGTTCTTACCTAACTCAGAGAGCACGAGTCCTGCCATCTGCAGCCTGACGCGGCCGGCCGACTGTTTAGACAGCGACAACGTTGCAACACTGACTTCAGGGATTAGAAGATGTTTGATTGAGAGACTTGAGGGACCGAGTAGGAAAGTTGTTTGCACTTCATTTTTTGGCACAACATTTAATGAGAGCTGCACTTAGTGGGCGTTTCTGCAGCACCTCAAATGACTTTATGGCAGCAGCAGTTCTGTTTGATGTCCAAAACAGGAAGACAGCATTATGACCAACAAACTAACTTTTGCAAGTCACGCATAGGAACACAAACATCAGCTGCGGTGGCCTTTGAAAGATGAAGCTGATAATTCATGAAAGACGGTAGTCTTTTGTGACTTCATGCCAATTATGTGCCCTGAAGGCAGCAGCAGTTGGGTGTGTGCAGGTTGGTTAATCAAAGAAAAAAAAAAAAAAGTCATGTCAGTCATCAGACGAACAAACTGCACCGCAAGTAAGAAAAACAAGAAAATAGAAATCTGATGCACACCAGAGGATGGGCCTGTTCTTCCTGTTGGCCTCACTGTGCTTTTTTTTTTTACCAATTCCTTGGAAATAAGGGAAACCTGAAACCCTCCAATCAAAGTTGTCACACAGGTGAAGCGTTTGAGCCTAAAGTGATGGTTACAGAGGTTCCAAACTGGTTGATTACTGGTTATACTGGTGTGAGCAGAGTGTTAAATTATCAGTCTTGACCGAGCCAAACTCCTGATTGAAATTCTTTTTGACACACTGCACTAATATTCGCTGATCAATGGAGCATGCGCAGTCACCTGAGCTTGTTCTCAGCTGCGCCTCATTTCTCATCATCAAGAACTTAATTGATTTAAATTTAAGCTGATTAAAAATGAGCTCATAATCGTTCCTATCTGCTGGAGTACAGATTAGACCCACAGAGCTCTGTGTACCTGCAGAACAAAAAAAAAAGGAGAACACACACCTGGTTTTCAGCTGCAGGCACTGTGGGTGAAGCTCCTCCTGTGTCCGTGTTGGCAGCAGCTCAGTTCTGCTCGACGACACTTTGTTCACAAACCAGCAGCTGCTCAGGAAGAAGAAGAAGAAGAAAAAGAAAAACCCTGTCCTGGTCGTGGTTCTGGTGTCTGCAGAGTCTCCGCTCAGGCGGTGCAGTTGCTCAGGTGGGGCTCGCTGAGGATGGACGCTCCGCACCTTTGATCCGCCCTGTTTTATTTTTTGCAGGTAAGTTAAAGGCTCCGCCCCCTTCCGTCCTGGGTGCTGCGTTCAAGAGCAACACGGAAAAAGCTGAAGTTGTAGCAGCTGTGGCTACAAAAACTGGACACTTAATACAAGCAGAGGCGCTGTTTTTGTTTGTTTGTTTGTTGTTTGTTGTTTAAAAAATCTGTATGCGATGCAAAGAAAAAATATATATATCAGCAAGAGTGGCAGGAAAATATGCGATATATATGTGTGTGTGTGTGTGTGTGTGTGTGTGTGTGTGTTTTAAATACAGGACATTTCAGAATCACTAATTAACCTCAACATGTTTTTGGACCTTGTGGGAGGAAGCTGGAGAACCCGGAGAGAACCCACGCTGCACGGGGAGAACATGGGAGACTCCACGCAGAAAGGGTGTCCTCACTGGGACGCGAACCAGCGACCTTCTCGCTGTGAGGCTAATCACCGCCCCCCCGTGCAGCCCTTTTTACAGTCAATATGTTCAATATTTTTTATTCTAGGATTTGATTAGATCGTATTTTTTATGTGACACAAGACAACAGTTCAGACATTTTTGTTAAACATTTTTTTTATTCATTATTTCAAATAAAGCAAATATCTTTCGAAAGTAATATATATTTTTGTGTGTGTTTGTGTGTTTGTGTCTGTGTGATAGAAATACAATTTTTGGTGTGTTTTTTACAGTCAACATGCACAATATTTTTTATTCTAAGATTTTATTAGATTGTATTTGTTATTTGACACAACAGTGAACACTTGTAAAATTACAGTTCAAGCTATGTTTTTGTTTGTTTGTTTTTTTACTTTTTTAAAATTAATTTCAAGTAAAGGCAAATATCTTTCAAATATAACATATTTTCTTAATAATATATTGTAAAAAAAAAAAAAAAAAAAGTAAATTAAAAAGTCAGTAAAACATTGTAAAAGAATGAATCACCATATATAAAAAATCTATGTCGATGTGGACATTATTTCCATTTTTGGCCTGTTTTGTTGTTGTTTTTTTTAAATATTATTATTATAAGAGGATTCACGTTTTTAAAAAACGTGCTTTTAGAATTAAAAAAAAAAAGACCCTTTATTTAAATTATCTGTAGTTTAACAAAACAGGGGAAAACAGAATAATAACAATAAACTGAGTGCAGAAATCAGTCCTGTGCATTTGTTGCTGTGTGGAGTCGGACAGAAAATGAACCATCTATGAACACCTTCCCTTAGGACAGACTATGTGCTGTCAATAATACACTCTAGAAAGTATTTACTAACATAGTTACATGAATGGTTGCGAAATAAAATAAAAACTAGGTTTGTAGAGCAATTGTGTTTTCTGAGTGTAATGCAGACGGAGAGAAATCCAGTAACTACAAAGAAAACAGCTGGTTTATAAACCAGTGAGTCGATTTACAGAAGAATCGTTCATCAACAGTGATGAGAATCGATTCATCACTTATCAGGCAAAGAACAAACCAGCAAAATATTTTAGTTTCAAACTTCTCAGAGTTTTGCTGCTTTTCTTGTTTTTCAACCAGTTACATTTTTTTATGTTGGTCAGACGAAACAAACAAGACTCCCCCGTGGCTCTGCTTGTCACTGTTTTCTGATGTGATTAACAATATAATCATGTTAATATTGACAAAACAAAGCTCAAATTCTTTAGATATATTGTGTAATACGTGGGGAAAATCTGTACAAAAGTCATCTTCTTAAAGATACGGCTTGTCCTTTGCTCGGCCTGATAAAAGCCAGTGAACTTTACTTTTTTTTACAGTACAGTTTCTAAAAAGTGCTAAAAAGATTAACAGATGAGCGACTATTGTTGAATGATGCCAGCGTTGGAGGTCCATGTGTAGGAATGCGGAGCCTCGCCTGTACCTGCAACAGGAGCAGGGGTGTGGCACTGCTGATGTGTCCAAGGTGGAAATATGACACAAAGCACATACATGGATCTGCACAGGGGGATCAAATGTAGACCAACACGTAGGACTGCTAGAAACCCAGACTATGTGTTAAAATATTGGAGTTTAACTGTTCTCGTGGCAGCTCAGTGAGTCCGGTGTTGGTACAAACATAGAACCTACAGGGGGTCAGTCCACTGGGGTGTCCTGTACAAACAAGCTCAAATCTAACTTAATTAAATATAAATGAAGTCAAAAGAAAAGGTCATGATCTGCTACATCACATCCCAAACAAGGTGAAAGTTCTACCTGCGTTCGTCCACCAATGAGCTTTGGCTTTAATTTCCTGCCTTATATGGTCAAAGAGAGCAGACAGAAAGAAAGAAAGAGGTTTCCAGAAAGAGACGAGGCTGCAGAGCTCAGAGGAGGAGGAGGGAGGCGGCGTCTATTGTTTAGGGGTTTTTTCTTTTTCTTTTTTTTTTTGGCCTGTGGTGTAAAGTTTCTTTTCGAGGCCTGTCATTACTCGGAGCTCAGGTCCTCCCGTTGTCTCACGCCGGTCACACATCAAAGATGAGCAGATAGGAGTGTAGAGGCAGCAAGTTGCAGCATGAAGCAGGCAGACGCGCTGTGGGTGAACATATATGGCTTTTGACTGGTTTTCACTGCAGGCGGTAAAATAATCCAACTTCAGATTAATGTTAAATTAATGGTTTTAAAGAGGTAACAGATTAGCCGAGCAAGTGAGAATAAAAACAAACATGACAGACACACACAAGCATCAGCAGCTCGTGTTGCACAGAAA